CGCGCGCATCATGGGACGATGCGTGCCATTCGCCCATCAGCCGATCGTCGTCGCCCTCCTTGTTGTCGCTTGTCTCCGTTGGTTCGGGCCTTGGATCCCAACCTTTCAACCTCACACAATCTTCGGCCGGTATCCACCATCCATCTTTCACCCATCGCAAACCACGCCTTCTAGCCTCGTTTCTTTGGGCTCGTCTCTTCTTTGTACAAGGCTTACACCAACAACTTGATTCCTTAGCCTTTGCCTTACCTTTCCTTCGGGCTTGCTTGGCCTTACGTTTCCTTGCCTTCAACCTTAACTTCGGACCACATCCTTTTGGCCAGTCTCGTACATATGATGGCCGGTATATTGGACTTGATGGCTCCTCGAACATGTTCTGCAACATATAACGAGACCATCGTCACATTCCTCGTCGGAGTCGCCTGGGTTGATGACCACTTCTGTATCACAGCGGCCAGCCACCTTCGGAGCCCCATTTCCTATGTTTTGGCACATTTTTCCCCAAATCCAAGACCTTATGAATATTTTCAGGTGGATTAAGGATTATTTAAGCCTAAGATTGCCTTAAAAATATTTAAGGCAAGTTAATTTGCATTAGGCTTAAGTTGAGCATGTGTGCATGTGAATATTATATTCAATGTGTAAGTTTATGTCCACCACTCACCTTGTGTCCGACCAGAGCCTTTGTCCTCTTCCAAGATGCTCTGAAAACCTCCTCAAAATCCACCCAAGTCATCCCCAATGCAGCCCCAAGTTCCTATGTGCATATGAAGTGGGAAAAGAGCACTTAAAATGTGTCTCACATGAGCTACCTAGTGCAATCCGCCCAAGACTCCATTTGACCTCATTCTTCATCAAGTAAACACTCTTGGAAACTTAAGAATTTCACCCAAACTCAGCCATATAGAGAGAGATAGCCGAGAGCCTTGCATGCATGCTCCTAGGCCCGATAAAGAGGAGCACCGAGCCATCTCTTGTGCTAGCCGTGTTTTTCTGAACCAAACCAAGTTCATATCATCTCTGGAAGTATAAGGAGTTTAGAGAAGCCATCATCCCCAACCAAAGGCCACCGAGTCAAGCCACGGCCTATAGCGACCCGAGGAGACCCGAGTTAAGGGCTTGAGTCTCATTTTCGATTTCGGTGAAGGTTAGCTAATGCTATCTTTTATCCTAGCTATAACATGAAATTTTAAGATTTATCATGTAGATAAATCAAGTTTTGCTCGGGTAGAATGAGAGATTCGGATTTTTGAAGCTTAAAGCCTTAAAATCGTATTTTTCGTTGCATGCATGTTTAGGCCGAGTTCTTAAGCTTAATAATCCTTATAAATCATGAGTAATATGGGGTTAAAACAGGTTCTTAAAATAAGTAAGGGTGTTCGGACATCTAGAGCTCTATTTTTTCGAGGAAATAAGCCTATGAACCACATTGTTATGCATGTTTGAAGGGACATTAGTGTGTTCTTGATGAACCCTCGTTGAAATCATGTTAGGGATGTGGACTATGGAACATTTATGAGTCTTTGGCCTCATGGTAAAGACCATAGATGTTTTTTTTGAGTATGTGGTCATATATGTATTTTTGAATCTGGAGTAGCTGCTGATTTTTACAAAACTCATCATAAATCATGTGTTCGTCCGATTGCTGTGAAATTTGATCTGTATGACCTTCTTTTGGTATGTTATGTGGTGTAAAAATTGCAAGTCGAAATTATGTCTTTAGCTAGGACAAATGTCGATATGTTATGTGGTGTAAAAATTGCAAGTCGAAATTATGTCTGTAGCTAGGTCAAATGTCGATTTGAAATTCTGGGCAGAAACTTTAAAAAATCATTAAAAATCGGATTTTTGGTGTTTTGCTGTGATTTTTGGTGAGTGTTAGTAATCTGAAGTTATATGTGTTGTGTTCAAATTTCGTTGAAAAATTACAAGGATTGCCCGGTAAACTAGAAAGTTCAGATTTTCATCGTCTTTTTGTAAAAATTTGTTGCTTAAGTTAAACAGAATTTTTGGGTCTGAAACTTTGTGAAAATATGCCTTTCTGTGTCTATTTTAATGTGTAAAAATTTCAAGTGAATTGGTCGAGTCCTATTTGAAACCCTGCTTGTCTGCCGGGCTCTGTGCACTGCTGCCAGTGCCCCAGCGCGCGCGCCAGC